ATGGAGCATTTGACTGATAAAAAGAACACCTGTATTCAAATCCCTTCTCAGCCTTGGCCTCACTGTGTAGCCTTGGGCAAGTCACTATTTTTCAGGGCCAATTTCTCATAAGTATAAAATATGCAAACAACAGAAAATTCAGATTGCAACCTCTTCTGGCTAGACACACAAACACTGATCCCACGAAGAGATGGAATGCTAATACAACAGAGAAGAAGTTGAAGAAATAGGATATACAAGAAGCAGAACCCGAGATACTCGCGGGGGGGGGGAGTATGGTCCACGGCCTGCAAAGCAGGAGATCCTCACTGAGGAGGAGGAGGCCACAGGTGAGCCCAGCAGCAATGGTGGCAAGCAGTGAGCCCTGCGTGGCTCCCAGCCACCCACCCGCCATGGCTTCTCTCCCCCCCAGCAGCAACAGCAGCGAACCCTGCTCGGATCCCAGCTGCCTGCCCACGAAGGCTCCCCCGGCTCCCTCACAGCTGCCAGCAGCAAGCTCCACCACAGTTCCAAACAGCAAGTCCATTCTCCACGCATGCGCGAGAAAGCAGTTTTGGGGGGATTTAAGTATCCCCGTATATTTTTTAAAAACATGTCAGATTTTTCTGCACACCTAAGTAATGCCACAAGTGTGCAGGAATTTCCATTGAGCCTCCATGTGCCCCCAATTTGTCGAAATAAGTATCCACGCGCACTGGGGACACTTGGCTATTAGTATATAGAGCATTATGCCACACAGAACAGCCTAGCATTCCTGAAAAAAAGGCATTCATGCCAAGAGTTTGTAGAAATTTCAGGGTTTGGTTACACATCAGAATGCAGCCAACTAATTGACTTTTTCACAGGAACAAGCATAACCCCCTAATTCAATTAACTTCCTAGTTCTGTGAAATATTCTACGCACATTTTCTACATGTCTTCTAACGTTGCCACCACTTCTGAAAGCTTTGCAGCTTCGGATAGATGTATAATTTCCTTTTGAAAAATGACATGCAATATGCAGTCTGAAAAAACTGGCCAGATTCCTAAAACAACTAATCCCCAGGTCATTCAGTTTAACTCTTGCATTCTATTGCAGCTGTGCCCTTGGAGTATTGTTTAATCCAGAGTGAAAATAAAAACTACTCCAATGCAAATTACTAAATGCTACAAGAGCACTGGGCAACTGCCTGAATCAAGCCGCTCTACTGGCTTTTGAGAATTTTTAATTCACAAGGAACAGATTTGTGAAAGTAACAGCATCCAAATGCCACATTGCCTATGTTAAATATAATGGAAGCTAAACTCCTAAAAGACATTTTGTCCTGAAAAATTAGCACACTAATATCCATTCTTAAATATGCAGTCTTCTTAATCCCATCCCTTGTATGGAGAATAATTACAATACAAGACCAAGAGTGCAAGTAAGTATAGTAACAGGCAATGGTTAAGTGTGCGGACTCTAATCTGGGAGAACCGGGTTTGATTCCCCACTCCTCCACTTGCACCTGGCTGGATGACCTTGGGCAAGCTGTAGTTCTGATAAGAGCTGTCCTTGAAAAAGAACAGTTTCTGTCAAGAGCTCTCTCAGTCCTGCCTACCTCACAGGGTGTCTGTTGTGGGGAGGGGAAGGAAAAGGAGTTTGTAAGCCGCTCTGAGACACCTTTGGGTAGTGAAGGGCAGGGTATAAATCCAATCTCTTCTCTTCTTCTCTAAGCTGTGGAGTCTTGTGAGCAAAAATTCTGCTTTGTGAGCTACTGGCATTAAAGTTGTGAGCGAGCAATTTGGCTACTGCATAAATAAGTGTGCTCTGGAGCCATCTTTCCTGAACTAAGACAAAAATGTGTGAACCGGAGGCTAAAAACTGTGAGCTGGCTCACACTAACTCAGTTTACAGGGAACACTGGTAACAGGAGGACGCTGGGTCCTACAGACTGCCTATAAAGCAGGGGATGAAGCATGGGGGAGCTGAAGCAGAGCCATCCCTTTGCTTGCATTGCTCTACCCTAAAACCACTTTATCCTCCTTTTCACACAGAGCCTTCTAAAGAGCAAGTGGAGGGGGATCCAGCTCCCCACTCTCCCCTTTGCTCTACAATCCAGGGCATGTGCACTCACAGACATCACCCACACACCCTGGATTGAGCAGCAAACCCAATTCTGTACACACATCTGAGACCACCCTATCTAGTTTGACCTTAAGCATTCAAATCAAGACAAACTGGAGTATGACTGCATGCTTCCCAAACCTGCAAACTTTCAGTTGCACTCTGTATACACGGGACAGAGGGCAGAAGAGTGCAAGCAGGGCAAATCAGACATATTCATGCCCATCGCAAACAGAGGCTATGGTGCCATCTGAATGTGATCTATAAGAGTTATATGGTATGTACCAGAACAAAGTTTAAGTCCAGTGGCACCTTTAAGACCAACAAAGTTTTATTCAAGGTATAAGCTTTCATGCGCATGCACACTTCTTCAGATACGCTTACACCTTAAACGTTTCACTCTATCTGAGGAAGTGTGCCTGCACACGAAAGCTTACACCTTAAATAAAGCTTTGTTGGTCTGAAAGGTGCCACTGGACTTAAACTTTGTTCCGCTGCTTCAGACCAACACAGCTGCCCACCTGAATGGTAAGTACCAATGAAATGGCTAATGCCTTACTGTAAATTTTTTTTTTAACTTTTTCACAGGAGAGTAAAAAATACTTTATGCAGTCAAAACCCACCCCTGATAAACAGCAGGATGATTTCAACTCTTGTGAATTTCAATGTGATCTGAACAGCCTACTTGTCTTTGGAACTGAAGGCCAGACCATTCCACTGCAATAGTCATCATCAACCCATGTCCAGTTATCCTTGAAGATTTTAGGTATCTACCGGCTATACAAAAATGATACATTTTTCAGTTTTGACTTGCTGCCAATGTGATGAAAGCAAAGTGCCCAAACTATTAGTCCATGCATAGAGTTTGCAACCATTCCCATTCCAGATTTGCATTACTTTGAATCTAATTATTTCTCCCACGGCAACCACAACAGATATATATCTACAGTAAATAGTTCACTTTTGATCCATTCAATATACTGTATTTCCTCCCTGGTGTACTTGATCTATAAGCACCACTCTTGCATTATTAACACTGGGTTGGATCCATTCAGCTTTTTCACTCAATCTCACCCAATTCCCCTCCATATGATAGCTCCCATCCTACATGGCTTTAGTACCTGTAGATCCCAAGATCCTCAGCACAGCCTTGGTGGTGGCTCAAGAGAACACCTCCTTCCTTATTCAACAACAAACTTTGGGGGCAAGCAAATCTTACTAGACTGATTGTTATAACCACAAAACGTGACTACTCAACAAATATAGACTTGAAGAAAATTAGGTAGCTCATTTCATTCCCTGAGCTGCAGGTCAAATCCCAGGGAGGGAAGTAAAGTGCCCATCCTATTCCTTCTTCACAGCCTCTGCACCAGTGTTCCCTCTAAGCTGAGTTAGTGTTAGCTAGCTCACAATTTTTTAGCCTCTGGCTCACACATTTTTTGCCTTAGCTCAGAAAGGAAGGCTCCAGAGCAAACTAATTGATGCAGCAGCCAAAACGCTCGCTCACAACTTTAATGCCAGTAGCTCACAAAGTAGAATCTTTGCTCACAGGACTTCACAGCTTAGAGGGAACATTGCTCTGCACTCTCATCCCAGCACCCAGGCAACTGCCAGGTGGTGAACAAAGTGGCTGCAGAGAGGCTGCAAAGAAGAGAGCGTACGACCACCATCACAGCAGAAGACATCCAGAAAAAAGAGAAAGCTGATCACAGCAGGGCGGGGTGGTTTTACTTCCCTCTCTCCATAGTTAGCTGCCTCCCCCTCTGGGCACCCTGGCAGTCTCATTTGATTTTCTTAGCTACTGTGCTTCACATTAAGGCAAGGGCAAGAAGGCAGAGAGGGAAGTATTCTGTACAGCTAGAAAAAAATACAAATATGCCATTTAATTGGATTAGCTAAGGACAGGCCCCAATCCAGTTCCAACACTATCTACGAAAAGTATTCTTATTTTCTGGTGGGTTTTCAAGCCAATGAGAGTAAACAGTGTAGTCCATGCAATGCTCTAATATTCATTTTTTAATCTCCCCCAGAACCACTATCATGACCAACGTAGACAAAGGTACATCAGCATTCTCTTTTTTTATTTATTATATTTATTTATTATTTATTATTTATGCAACCGAAGTAGGTTCTAGTTTATGATAGCTTGTGCCACAGTGCATTTTTCCTATTAATTCAAAATGCCACAAGGATCTCTGCTGTTTTCACTGCAGCAGACAGTAGATATTACTCTGATTTTTTTAAACTAAGAAAACCCCTATTGGATCAGACTAGTAGTCCATGTAGTCCAGCATCCTGTCTCACACAGTGGCCAACCAATTTCTGGAGGGCCAATAGCAGGGAATAGGGGCCGAGACCTTCTTCTTATGTTGCCTCCTGGCACTGGGATTTAATTCATCAGTTAACAGTAAAGCCAGCCATTTAGTTATCTCTCAGCTGCCAAGATAAAAGAACTAATTCACCGGAGGAACAGTTCAAAACTGCAGGCAGACATTTAGCGATCTATTACAGTTAGATATAATCTGCGGCATACAGTTGTTTGTATCACTTCAGCTTCTGTTACCAAGGCTAGTTAAGCAAAGACTGCCTTAATGCACCTGACCAAAACTCCATCTAGCACAGCACACGGTACACACAAGTCACAGACTTCCGCGTTCACCTGCTTGTGATATTTGGATGTTTGCGCTACGGCAAATGTGGAGGGAGGAGGACACAGTATTACGTCCCCAAAGACTCGCAGGAAGGCTAGGCGGGGTTGCCGGCGAGAGACAGTACCTCTTGTGGAGGCAACAGAACCGTTTAAGAACCCTGCAAGGCTACGGGGAAGGGGGTGAGGAACCGGGTCGGGGTCAGCAAAATAAACGCGCGGCCGCGACCTCTCCCTTGACTTGCCCCCTCCCCATATACAACTCACCAACTCATGGCCCCCCGGCTCCAGCGCTCTTTTTCCCGGAAATGCCGGCTCTGTGCTCCGCCCACCTACCGGAAGTGAGGTCAGAGGCGCGCTGTGGAGCTCAGCCGTGTCGCGTACGAGCCCGAAGGCGGAGGCAGTGTTGGGAGGCGCTTGTATTAACCCTTTCCGCTATGTAGTGAAACTGAACGTCCCGTAACTAGGGTCACGACCAAGCAACGCTCTTCAGGCAGGGATTCTCTAGGATGCTTTTTATTGGGACTAAGAGTGAAGGTAGCCTGTGATGCTCCCTAGAACAATTGCTAGAAACAACTTTATAAGAATACCTTTCTATTACAAAAACATCCCAGAACAGCGTGTAGGCTTTCACGTTTCCCCGGAACAATTCATGAGGCTGCCAATTAAGTATTTTAAAAAGCGGGGAGGGGGAGAGAAGGAAAAGATGGAAAAGCCCTATTGTTCCTGACGTGGAGAGTTCTGACATGGAGTAATAGTCCTCCATCTTGTTGGAAAAGGCAATGTCTGGTGAGCAAAGAAGAAGACCCTGCAGGGGGCAGTAAGAAGACAATTAGATAGGATAGTCAGGTCAGCACCTTCTCGCCTGTTAAGTTCAGATGGGTAGCCGTATTGGTCTGAAGCAGCAGAACAAAGTTTGTATCCAGTGGCACCTTTCAGACAAAGAGTGTTTTATCCAAAGTATAAACTGTCATGTGCACACACAATTCAGGTATCTGAAGAACTGTGTGTGCACACAAAACCTTATACCTTGAATAAAACTTTGTTGGTCATAAAGCTGCCACTTAATTCAAACTTTGTTCTGTTAAGTGTCATTCGGCCCCGGTCACACGGGCCGGATATTGCACGGGGGGAGGCATGGCTAATTGCCCCGGCGCAGTTTGATCCATGATTACATGATCAGACCCGCCGGCAGCACACCATGGGTTTTTCCCTCGCCGGCAGGTAAACGGACCAGAGGGGAATGCCACGCGCTGCGCGATCACACCACGGGTGTCTGGAGGCAGCCCGTGGCAAACGTTTACTAGTACCTTGGAAGTACTAGTTTTTAAATGCGCATTGTTGGCGGTAAGCCATGGGTGTACTCCACTTCCCAGATGTTGGGATGTGATCGCACCCGGATAATCCGTCCACCTTCCGTGCCTCTCCCGCAGCAACTTTGCCGTGTGACCGGGGCCATTCATTGTCTTTCTCTAGATTTCTACTCTCAGGGCAATTTCCCCCTTGGAAGTGCCACACTCAGTCTTACCCTCTCTCTCAGGTAAATATGTAGTTAGGAACCTATCTCCATCTCTCTTCTTTCATATCAAGTATGTTAATTCCTAAATAAACCTTTATCTTCTCTTTAATCAGGTTGTGCACTGTTGCTGTGTTAATTACTCTGCCAACACATCTCACATTGGATGAAGTAGGCTCTAGTCCATGGACACTTATGGCGCAATCAACTCTGATTCTTCAAGGTGCCACAAGACTTATTTTTGTTGTTCAGTCGCACAGTCGAGTCCGACTCTTCGCGACCCCATGGACAATCTCCCGCCAGGCTCTCCTGTCTTCCGCCGTCCTCCGAAGTTGGCTCAATTTCATGTTCGTTGCATCGCTGACACTGTCTAACCATCTCATCCTTTGCCGTCCCCGTCTTCTTTGACCTTCAATCTTTCCCAGCATCAGGGTCTTTTCCAGTGAGTGCTCCCTTCTCATTTGGTGGCCAAAGTATTTGAGCTTCAGTTTCATTATCTGGCCTTCCAGGGAACAGTCAGGGTTGATTTCTTTGAGGATTGACTGATTTGTTCTTCTTGCAGTCCAAGGGACTCTCAAGAGTCTTCTCCAGCACCATAGTTCAAAAGAATCTATTCTTCGGCGCTCGGCCTTCCTTATAGTCCAACTCTCACAGCCATACATGACTACTGGGAATACCATTGCTTTGACCATGCGGACTTTTGTTGGCAGGGTGATGTCTCTACTTTTTATCATGCTGTTTAGGTTCGCCATCGCTTTCCTCCCAAGGAGCAGGCGTCTTTTAATTTCATGGCTGCAGTCACAGTCTGCGGTGATCTGGGATCCCAGGAACGTGAAGTCTGTCACTACTTCCACAGCTTCCCCTTCTATTTGCCAAGGAGTGATGGGGCCGGATGCCATGATCTTAGTTTTTTTGATGTTGAGCTTCAAGCCCACTTTTGCGCTCTCCTCTTTTACTCTGAGCAAGAGGCTCTTTAGATCCTTTTCACTTTCAGCCATTAGAGTGGTATCATCTGCATATCTGAGGTTGTTGATCTTTTCCCCAGCAATCTTAATTCCCGCTTGTGATTCATCCAGGCCAGCATTTCGCATGATGTACTCTGCATATATATTAAATAAGCAAGGCGACAATATACATCCTTGTCGTACTCCTTTTCCTATGCTGAACCAATCAGTTGTTCCATATCCGGTTCTAACTGTCGCTTCTTGGCCCTTATACAGGTTTCTCAAGAGACATGTGAGGTGGTCTGGTACTCCCATCTCTTTAAGGACCTGCCATAGTTTGTTGTGATCCACACAGTCAAAAGCTTTAGCATAGTCAATGAAGCAGAAGTAGATATTTTTCTGGTACTCTCTTGCTTTCTCCATAATCCAGCGAATGTTGGCAATTTGATCTCTAGTTCCTCTACCTCTTCGAAACCCAGCTTGTACTTCTGGTAGTTCTCTATCCACGTACTGTTGAAGCCTAGCTTGTAGGATCTTGAGCATGACCTTGCTAGCGTGTGATATGAGTGCAATTGTGCGATAGTTTGAACATTCCTTGGCGTTGCCCTTCTTTGGGATTGGAATGTATACTGATCTTTTCCAATCCTGTGGCCACTGTTGCGTTTTCCAAATTTGCTGGCAAATGGAGTGCAGCACTTTAACAGCATCATCTTCTAAGACTTTGAATAGCTCAGCTGGAATACCATCACCTCCACTAGCTTTGTTGTTAGCAATGCTTTCTAAGGCCCATTTAACTTCACATTCCAGGATGTCTGGCTCGAGGTCAGTGATTATACCGTCGTGGTTGTCAAGGACATCGAGGTCTTTCTTGTATAGTTCTTCTGTGTATTCTTGCCATCTTTTCCTAATCTCTTCTGCTTCTGTTAGGTCCCTACCGTTTTTGTCCTTTATCATGGCCAGCTTTGCATGGAACGCTCCCTTGACTTATTACCGCTCCTTTATAGATAGAGACCACTGGGGGGGTTGGGCAACATCTTTCCATTACCCCAGCCTTCCCCCCTGCTACGCAAGATGTTAGGAGTTTATATGAATTGATTTTAATCTGTTTTAAATTTGTATTATGTAATTTTGTATACAGTACGCACTTAGTGCCCTATGTGAGCTGCCCTGAGCCCGTTCGCGGGGAGGGCAGGGTATAAATGCAATAAAATAAATAAATAAATAAAGTTTGGTTTTACAAAATTTTGGATCTACAAGCTCTACTGTCAAATACAGATACTTTAAACAACTGCCAGTGTGGTATAGTGGTTAAGAGTGTCAGACTAGGACCTGAGAGACTCAGGATGGAATCTCTGATCTGCCATGGAAGCCTGTTGAGTCACATCAGGCCAGTTATACACACTCAGCTCAACCTACTTCATAGGGTTGTTGTGAGGACAAAATGGAGAACAGGATAATGATGTAAGCCAATTTGCCTTCCCCCCATTGGCAAGATAGTATAAATGAAATAAATAAATAAATGATAGGGCATCAGGAAAGAGAAGTTCTCCCCATTGCAGGAGTATGTGACTGGGGTGGCTAGAGGTTTATTTTCAGGTGCAATCTGCTAGAACAACCTGGTTATCATCTATAATAGATTATATCTATAATATTATATCTATAATATAATATATATAATATCTATATAATCTGTATATATAGATTATATATAGATATATAGATAATATGTCTAGATAGATAATCTAGATAATGTCTAAATAGATAG